TAGCTGGACAGCGCGTGATGCTGAAATAGCCAACATGCGGTGTGTGGTTTGAAAAGAATAACACCGGCTCACTAAATCATTCAAAAGTAATGTTTACTTAGGATATCAAAACATTGACAACCAAATCGGAGAAGCCGCTTGATCATGGAGGGGGTGGCGGTGCATAAGCTGCCACCCCAGTTGGCAGTTTTGTTTTGAAAAAAAGATCGTGCCTGATCGGACATTTATGAGAGAAAATCCCGAATGTCCGAGTGCAAGGGAACGCAGCACAAGCCGCGAGCCTTGTAACCCCGGCCCTGGCGCGAGCATGGACAAGTGATTGACGGCGATTTCATTTGAACTGGACGGCGCAAAACGAGAAGCGTTTTAAAAGATAAGCCTGTTCAAATACAGATAATAGCCCTGGCTTTTAACATGGGACTGAAATGGGGCTAGAGAGGACGAGCCTCCCTTTGGGCAGGTCCAGCCAGAGGCTCTGGCCTTTGATTATGTTCTGGCCTGCCATCTAGTGGCTCAGAAAGAAATTGACCCAAGGCTAAACTTACTTGCCGACCCCTGAATTAGAGGCGTGACCATTTATCAAAATACACTTCCATCTTGAGTTGTCGTTTCGCTGTTACATTTTCGAAACGAGGTATCTTTACGTCAAAAACTGAGTTATTTCATGTGTTTCAGGAGTTTTACGAATGATAGGTCTATTTAGAACAAACTAAAAGGAGTGCACAGTATTTGTAGAAAACACCAGAAGAACTGAGAAGATCACGTCATGGGAACCGTTGTATTTAAGGTTTCTTTGTTTTGTTTCACTCACATTATACATCGCAGAGACTCTGAACTCACGTCAAAATGTTGAGCGGAATTAGAACATGCCAGTATTAAGATAAGATAAGATGGAGCTTTATTAACCCCGTGGGGAACTTCAGTAGTTTTAAAAGCAACAGGGTGAGACTAAAAAACAGCACAGATTCACACAAGATGAATACAATTAGAGATACAATTACAATGATATACAGGTAAGAAACGGTTACAATAATAACTGAATGAAATGAACATGTATACATATTTGAGTCATATATACATATTCAATATATGTACATGTCTGTATGCTGGTTATTGTGAAAACTGTGTATTTGATGTACGGTACTTGTGTTACCCCGGACTTCATAATTCTACTTATATTACCCAATTCATCTCAATGTTACTATAGAAGTCTCAACCTTTTGATCCTCAGGAAGCGAAGGGAGACATTTGTAAAATTACTATTATTATTATTTCTTTCCAAGGAAATGGGGAATCAGAAAATAAGCTGTACGTGATGGTTGATATGAAAGTCACTGTTTGAAGGAAAATTGACGCCGTACACGATTTGTATCATTGTCTTGTAATGTACTGTCGAATGTCATGTTTTATGTTATTTGTGGACCCCAGGAAGATTAGCTGTTGTTTTGCACCAGCTAATGGGGATCCTAATAAACTCATAAACTCATCCCACCTAGCATCTAATAAGTAATAAGTTTCTTCAGGAAGTAGTTCAGATAGTGAGGGGTGTGGTTTCAGAGGATAGATTTAGAGAGGCCGTGTTGTGTTATATGTTTCTTTTGTTTGGCACATCTCCTTTGTCTCCTCTTCCCTTAAAGAACATTTGTTGGCAGTATTCTTTGTTTAAAAGTAATAAACATTTTGGTTAACGTTCACAGCCTGTGACCTCAGATGTTCATTGACATATCTACACTGTAGCTTTGAACCAATGACATTAAAAGCCTTGAATCTACTGTCCTCAGGTCCCCTAGACCTCAGTGGGGACGTAACAGTCAGCATTCACTCCGCAACTTCTTCAAGAACTGCATTGTTTTGTTTTAACTGAGAGACAGAACATTTACGATGTGACCGCTCACCTGTTCTGGCCTCTTGGAGGAGTCGTGTTTTTATCCGTAGATGTCTCCCGACCTCCTTCAGGTTTCTCCCTGATGACGTCATCAGAGTTTCCCCCCTGGCTCTCCTCACTCTCCTCACTCTCCTCGCTGGACTGAGATGAAAGCTGTGGGTTGGGGGGCCGTGTGGGCCGCCGGCAGGGGGGCTCGGGTCCTCGGCACTGAGCCGCCGGGAGGCTTTGGTTAAAGTGAGCGAACGCCATACACTCCGCCGTGGTTTTATCACACACACACTGCAGTTTATCACACACACTCACGCCCTGACCTGAGGAGAGGCGAGTCGTTGAGTCAGGTTTCATTATTGATCATGTTTACCTCGTTTCAATAGAAGAAGTACTCAGATCCTTGAATTGAGTAATAGCAGCAATAGTTATAGGTAAAAGTACTGTACCCTAGTACTTTTTATATCGTTACAATTTAAAGGTCTCCTATTTTACTGTTTTTAGGCACATAGTATAGATCTCAGATACAAATATATAAAAAACATGTCTATGAAGTGTTTTGCTCAAAATACCAAACAGATCAACCATTCTAGCCTCATCCCCCTCTATTTCAGCCCTGTTACTAAAGTGCTGATTCTGGGTCCGTAGCTTAATTCTCAGCTAAGTTCTGCCGTGATGAAACTCCACATCATGTTCCAAACCACATCAAGGATTCTCTCTGAAACAGGATGGAGCTCAAACTCTTTCTCTCTCTCAGGTTTACCACAAGGTGAGTTCCTTTTTATTTCCTGCTTCTTCACACACACTCTCTCCAGTACAGGTTAGCTCTGAGTGTTAGCATGCTAATGTAAACAAAGACCATATTTCGTTTATTATACGGTGACATGCCACTTTACAGAAGCATATTAAACTACATGTCCACAATGCATCTCATTTTGTGCACACTGAAGATACGTAGTTATTACCCTATCCGATAATAATCCAATGCAAAGGCAATAATGTAATATAATACATTATTTTATATATATTATATATTTCTATAGTCTTACAGTTACAACTGGCCCTTTGAGTGCAACCATAATGGTGATGTGGCCCACGATGAAATCGAGTTTGACCCCCCTGTTTTAAACAATGAAGGGCTTTTGCAAAAGTGTCTGCAGCGTGGGATTAGTACTTTTACTTCAGTCGAGGATCTGAATACTGTAACACATTAAAGTAGCTGCTTTACTCACAGCGAGGCTTCCCCCCCTCACAGGAAACCTGAGCGCTGAGCTTTCTCTCTGGACTGCAGCCCATCGAGCTGATCTGCTTCAGACAGCAGTGATGGAAGAAGCAGCACCTGAGGAGGAGGAGGAGGAGGAGGAGAGGTTTAAACACCTTTCACATTGTTCTGGGACTTTGTTAGCTTTCATGAAAGAATCAGTGTGAGTTAGAGTGGTACTGGGATGTTGTATTTATTTATTGGACCCTGAAGGCAGCATCTCCCTGGTCCAATGGGATTTCTCCATTTGGTTTTGGAATGTGACAGGAATAGGAATCAGAAACAGGTTTATTACCAGGTATGTTGACACGTACGAGGAATTTGATTTGGTGTCGTGGTGTACATAAAAGTAAAATAAAAATGAATAGAGAACTATTTTAATGAAACTATAATAATATTAAAAAAGAATACAAAATATAAAAAATATAGCAGTATTTACATTGAAATAGAATGGAATAAAATATGTGCGGTAACACAAAAAAATATATATATCAACGCCACCCTTTTGGGGTTTTGGACTCATTCCAGTGTAAAGTTAGTTTCTTGCAGTTTGTTTCTGTTTATTAACACTGCCGCCCCCTCCTCACCTGTCCAGCTGGTCCTGAGGCTGCCCCCCTCCTCCTTCCTGTCCACAGTAGCAGCCGTACATCTCGTACTCGTGGGGGCATCGTCCGGTCAGACAGTGAAGCATTTCCCCCAGAGCAGGAAGCTCCCGATGGGCCGCCCCCCCGCTGCCGTACAGCGTGAAGGAGTGGCTGCACTCTGAAGGGGACGATATGAAAAACACTCAACTTAAAGTGTCCTTTTAGAGAGAAAGGAGGCCAAAGACATGCAGCTCCTCAGGCGTACCTTTGCTCTCCGGCTGCAGCGGGACGTCAGTCAGACCGATGGACTCCAGCAGAGACCAGGCGAAGGACGGCATCATCCTCTTCCTCACCTCCAAGTCTGCAGACAGAGAAACAGTCAGGATACACTTCACTTAATGCAGCATCAGAAGACAGGATGACTAGAAGAAGACCAGAAGACAGGATGACCAGAAGAAGACCAGAAGAACCCGAACAAAAAAACAGAAGAACTAAAAGAATCAAAAGAACTAGAAGAACCTGGAGAGTCAGAAGAACCAGAAGAACTAGAAGAATCAGAAGAACCAGAACAAGAACTAGAATAACTAAAAGAACTAGAAGAATCAGAAGAACTAGAAGAACTAGAAGAATCAGAAGAACTAGAAGAATCAGAAGAACTAGAAGAACTAGAAGAATCAGAAGAACTAGAAGAACCAGAAGAATCAGAAGAACTAGAAGAATCAGAAGAACTAGAAGAACCAGAAGAATAAGAAGAACTAGAAGAATCAGAAGAACCAGAAGAACTAGAAGAATCAGAAGAACTAGAAGAATCAGAAGAACTAGTAGAATCAGAAGAACTGGTAGAACCAGAAGAACCAGAAGAACTAGTAGAATCAGAAGAACTGGTAGAACCAGAAGAACCAGAAGAACTAGAAGAATCAGAAGAACTAGAAGAATCAGAAGAACTAGAAGAACCAGAAGAATCAGAAGAACCAGAGGAACTAGAAGAATCAGAAGAACTAGAATAACTAGAAGAATCAGAAGAACCAGAAGAACTAGTAGAATAAGAAGAACTAGAAGAATCAGAAGAATCAGAAGAACTAGAAGAAACAGAAGAAACAGAAGAACTAGTAGAACCAGAAGAACCAGAACAACTGGTAGAACCAGAAGAACCAGAAGAAGAATGAAACCAGTCTTCTGTTTATGTTCTAACTTTAACTCTACCATCCATATCTCTCTCCGGAGAGCTGTCTGTTTTTTCCTCTTCCTCACATGGAGCTTCCTCTTTCTTCTCCGGCTGCTCCTCCTCCTCAGATTCAGCCTCAGTGGTGGTCCTGATGGAGGAGGTCTGAGATGATGGAGGTCTGATGGAGGAGGTCTGAGATGATGGAGGTCTGATGGAGGAGGTCTGAGATGATGGAGGTCTGATGGAGGAGGTCTGAGATGATGGAGGTTTGATGGAGGTTTGAGATGATAGAGGTCTGATGGAGGTCAATGTGGTGGTCTGAGATACACCTCCCACTGAAGGTGTCGTTTTGTGACTCACCTGAGCTGCAGAACGAAGGTGAGGATATTAATAAATCAGTTTATATCGTAATATGCATTTTATAAATCGCAGTACAATGTGCACATTTTTATTTTAACATCCTTTTTTTATATATATATTTGTATTCTATGTTTTATCTATTTTTGGAATTTCTCATTTCTACTTATTATGTTTATATACATATTTGTATTTAACTTTATTTAATTTTTTATTGGAAATCTTATTTTCCAAAGTATTTTTGTTTTATTTTATCTATTTATTTAATTTTAATTGTTAACTTTATATTTATATACATATTTGTACTTGTTATGAATGGTTGACTTTATGCTAATGTGCAGATTCCAGATTAAATTAATTCTGACATTTTTGTGAAGCAGATTCAGATTTCCAACATGGTTTGAACGCTTAAAGAATCCCTCTCTCTCTCTATGTTTTAATGATTGGCCTCACCTCTTCCCGGGGGGGGAGCGATGGGGGGAACCACTTCCTCCCCTGAATTGGGAGGTGTGGTGGGTGTTGTTTTGACACTGGATATCTTCTCCTGTCCTGTGATCACAAACACATCACAAGTCAAAGTCAAAAGTCAACTTTATGTCAATCTTTCAGTTTATGTGTACAGACAGAGAGATCGAAATACCGTTTCCCACAATCCCGGATATAAAAACAAATATAAAAATATGTGTGCAAATATGTATATCCTATACAATCAAAGACAAATGTTTACAAATGCACACATTAAGACCTAAATAAAAACAGTCAATATATACAAAATAAAAGTAACTTCAATATCGTTGAGAATGTGCATTAGTGCAGATCGTCCATAGCAGCGTAAAAAGTGAGGAGAAACCCTAAAATCAATCAGTCAGTCAAGTATGTGGAAAACGTCGTGAAAAAAAAAAATTGTATATTATGTTGAATATATCATGGAAGAATATTCATTGTTCAGTAGGTCAAATATTTCATCAAAAATGTTAACCCTTTATAGGACACTAGTAGGTTAACCCTAACCCGTTTCAGGCCTCTGCTAATTGGTCAAATTCCCCAATGGCGCGCTCTGTGGCGTAGAGTGAGAAAAACCACATGCTTTTCTACCTCACTGAGTCGCGGGGGGACGCCATGTTTGGGTAACCCTAACCCAAATATGGTTCCTCGCCCGATAAAGGGTTAATGTTATGTTGAAATAAAAAATAAAAAACATAATGGCCTCTTTCCAATATATTCATAGTAAGTCAAAAATATATAAAGTCAAATGTTTCATAAAAGACAAAATATGTCCAAGGTTTCCAAAAAGAGTTATAGTATGTTAAAAAATGGATGAAAAAGTAATGGAATAGCAGGTATAGTGGGAAATGTATGAACAAATTCTAATTTTGTCAAATATTTAATACAAAAATAATAGTGTAGTGCATCAAAAAATTAAAATGCATACTGTATATATATATTGGTCAGAAAGTATTCTTTTTAAATCCAACCTCGGTCAAATATTTTCCAAACTACAGATTTCTTTCCATCATCCTTTTATACCACTTTTAATGACATACTATACTGACAATGTAAGAGACCATTTTAGACATTCTGTACCGTGTCATCATATTAGTGTAATTTGATATAACGCCAAACTTTGTTTTAAACTGAAAAGATTTTAGGGTTTCCAAACTACAGATTTCTTTCTAACATACTTTTATATCACTTGTAACTCTAAGCTGACCTTGAGTTGTGTGAAAACCTGTTTCCTCTCGTCTGTCCTCTGAAGCTGGAGGAGTTGTTGTTGTTGTTGATTCTCCTCCACCTGAAAACAAAGATTACACAGACCTTCAGAAGTGAGACGTTCAGGTGTCAAAGACAAAATAACTCACATTTCATTTTTTTCCAAACGAAACACAGGTGTGTGATTACTGTGTATCTTGATCTACACAATCATATTATATTCAAACAGTTTCCACGTTAATCTAAATCAACAGTTCAAACAACTCAATAAAGCATGAATACATAACTGATCACATTTAGAGCATTTTAGTTTGTTTTTTTCTCAATTTCATTTGAATGTTTCGATGAAAATACAGCATTTTTTGTTAAGAACTCCACAGTTTAGTTTTTTTAGCTTTTATGTCATGTGACTCTAAATCAATGCAGCATTGTATTTCTAAACTGAACAAGTAGGACACACCTTTGTAGGATTTTTTAAAAATGTAATATAAATATTTAAAGGGAATTCAGAAGTAAACTTATTGTAAAGCTCCAATGTAGTCTAAAGGCTTCAAAAGAATTTGACCTACGCTCAAATCAAGCATTGCATTACAACATGTGACGATTACGAAACACCTTTAATTTAATTAGAGTGCCTTTTCTATTATATATAATTACTGTTATTTGATTTGTTTGTATCAAGAGATGTGTACATGTAGTCTAATTTATTTCTCCATTGATTTCGAATCATTAGGTCACATGACATTAAAGCTATTGAAGATAAATGGATACTTTTCAATCAAGACATTTTTGATTTTAATAATTTATGGACATGAAATGCATTAATCTGACCTGTTGGAGAGGCAGATGCTGTTGAACTTCCTAACACCTCGTTGGATGCATCTGGGGATACAGTCGGTGTTGTTGTTGTTGTTGTTGTTGTTGTTGTTGTAGATTTGGCCGAGGTTGTTGTTGTTGTTGGAGTAAACGTGGTAGTTAGGATATCTTTAACTGAGGAAGAAGATTATAAAAATAGACCAGATTCAGAAATGCATCTCCCTTTTAAGTGAGACAAATGATGGAGGATGTTGTGATTAGTTTAAAGTCACCTTGCTCATCTGAAGCTCCCTCCTCCTCTTCATCATCGTCTTCCTCCTCTTCCTCTTCCTCTTCTTCAGATGACCTTCTCCTCTCAGACGGTCTGATTGGTGCTTTTGCTGTCAGTGACGTTGTGACGATGAAGGAATCTGCAAAAAGATCAGATATATTTTATTATTACTCACAATAAATATACCATTTTGGATATATATACTATATATATTTAATTAGTATTCTAATATTAACCGTTTGGTCTCATAATAACAACTCAAAATAAATGGTACATTTCCCCCAAAACATAGCTTTTTAGACACATCTACAGAATGTTTTAAAAAAAGACTGCAAAGTTAGTCCTAAAACTTTTTTTCTTAAAGGTATTTGTACTTTTTTCGACTATTTGTTAAATGTTTTGTTTGTTTTTTATATACTGTATGCCTGAACATGTCTCGTTAAATGAAAATAAGTGTAATAGAAAGGTTAAAATGAGCAGACATAAAACGTTTGATTGATAAAAAAGTCTGAAAAACTTCACAAAAGGACCGAAACCTCTTATTTCTTTATCAGCTTCCTCGGATGACTCATTCAGGTTGGTTGGTGTCGGCTCTCTGGGAGTTGTAGTCTTCCGAGGAGTTGTAGTCCTCGGAGAAGTTGTAGTTGTAGTTTGAAGGGAGGATGTTGAAGGTGTTTCTGTGTTTTTGTCTTCAAAGCTCAGTTGTGATGTTTTGATGGGCCCTGATTCTGATCCGAGACCTGAATCTGAAAAAGAGAAGGTGAAAAGAGTTTAAAGAGGCCTTACTCTGCTTTTAGAGGACTCTTTAAAGTAGAGACACTACATACTGATATACACCTGAACATCAGCAGGAGAGGACTCTTTAAAGTAGACACTACATACTGATATACACCTGAACATCAGCAGGAGAGGACTCTCGTTTAATGATACGAGATTAATGTGACTGAATTTTCTTACATTTTCTTTTTACAGCTTTTATTCCAAACAAAGCCGTTGAATTGGAGATCGGGTGAATCAAGGTTCAAGGCTTTTATTGGTCATACGAAGCTACGGTAGTTATGACGATGAACATCTTAGGTCACAGGCTCCTCCATCAGTGCAACACAATAAAACAGAATTTCACTGCCCAGTTAAAGGGTGTTTCAGAAAAAACGACCACTTCATGGAAATGAAATGTAACAAACATCACCAACTGTTATTCTTTATATCCAAAACTAAAACACTGCTTGTATTCCTGAGTGTTTTCTCCGTCACAGCCTCATCTAAGCCTTTGAAAGCGGCGTAATGTGAGTCATGCAGCAGGAGGAGAACAGCAGGGAAATTATTTCTGGAGATTTAGAAGCTGCAGGATGGTCAGCTCGAGCCAAATGTAATTATGAGCAGCTTGGGGAAAAACAAGATCGCCAGAAAAGTTTTTCAGAGGAAAACAGGAAGTAAACGCACAGGGAGAGGAGAAAGTGTTTTACCTCTCGAGATGAAACTTGTGTGCGCTGTTTCTTCTTTTTCTACTTCCTCTGCAGCGTCTTCACCTTCCTGAAGCTCCTCTGAAAAGACAGATCAATCATATTAACACACAACTCAGTTTTAAGAACACAGCTAATAGTTTTAATACTGTTTAAAAGATTTAAAGAAAACAGTTGTGCACTTAGAGGCTACACTTGGGCATAGTTGTGATTTGAGCTAAATGCTAACGTTAGCGCGCTCAAATTAACAACCCTAACATGCGTTAGCATTATCAAAATAACATTGCTAATAATCCTGATTAAAGTAAACCACGTTCACAATCAGAGTTAAGCATGCTAGCATGATTAAAAGGAAACAGTCTCGCTCTTTGAGGCTGTACTTGGGCATAGTTGTGATTTGAGCTACATGCTAAAAGTGTAATGCTCAAAGTAAATACGCTAACATGCTAATGCTAAGCAGATATATTGTAAACCATATTCACAATAAGAGTTAACATTTTTTTATCATTTTTGGAAAATAAATTTACCAAACGCTTTCTCTGACTTAGTGTCCGTGTTCTTGGGAGTGGGAAGAGTGGGGGAGAGTGTATTTTGTGCTGCGCCTAGGTTCCCCTAGACCTGGGCGTAACAAAGGCATTGACCTCTTTGCAACATAAGGATTATACGATGTTACACCATGATGCACGACACCTTCATCTTTCGCCATTGACCAGATATAAAGGAGAAAGGTAACGTGACTAGTTCTATTTTTAACTGATCTTGACCTGCAGCCAATCACAGCCCTCGTACCTGCAGTTCTCAGCAGGGATTGGCTGTTGGGCGAATCTAAATGTTAATTTAATCTGTTTACAAACTGCGTCTGACAAATAAACATGTAAAACATATTTTTAACGTGAACTCGGATACAGAAAAATGTTTGACCTGCAGACAGGAAGGAAGAGTTGGAGAGGAAGAAGCTCAGAGAGTCGTTCACTGCAGAAAGATCATCTGAGAAGGACAGGAACAGGAGGAATTCAGTCTCTGTGTTTGAATCCACTTGAAATCAGTTTCAACTCAAATGTTCACATAACCAATTAATTATAAAATTGATAACAAAGGATGTCTTGGTCTGAACACACCTGAAATCTTATGTAGTTACCTGTCTCGTTCAATTTGAGTTTTTTTTAATTTGGATTCTCTAAGCTTTTCAATGACTATATTTGTTCTTTTGTACAATACTTTAATGCTTGTCTGTTTAGTCTTAATTGTTAAGTTGTAAAAAGGCTGTTTTTGAAATATTGAAGTTTAGGAAAGAACTCAAGCTTTAATTTGAAAGAGCCTTAAACCTGCATTCTCTCTAATATCCAGCAGGGGGCGACCTTTGCAAAAAGAGGTTAAAATGTATAGAAGTCTGAGACATGTAACTTCTCTCTTGATTTATTAGCTCTGTAAACAGTTTCCTGATGAGTTTGTCTCAATCCCTAGTTTCAAGTCTTTTTCAACACACCATGACGTTCATTTCCTAAATTATGATCCCGTTTATTCAAATTATTTACTTTGTGATTGACAGGTTACTTTAATTCTTTCACAGTTGGTTTTCCAGTTCATGAAAGTTAAGGCTGGCCACAATAAAAGGCCACTCTGAAACTTGCATTTTTGCTTTATTGGGGGGGTCCGAAAACCAGTCAGTATCTGGTGTGAGGGTTAGGGTTAGGGTAATGTTGTGAATCGAGTGGCCCATGGTGGTGGTGGGGTTATGGTATGGGCAGGCGTATGTTATGGACGATGAACACAGGCCACTCGATTCACAACATTACCCTAACACTAACCCTAACCCTAACCCTCACCCCTCACACCAGATACTGACTGGTTTTCGAACCCCCCCCAGACCCCCCCAATAAAGCAAAACTGCACGTTTCAGAGTGGCCTTTTATTGTGGCCAGCCTAAGGCACACCTGTGCAATAATCATGCTGTCTAATCAGCATCTTGATATGCCACACCTGTGAGGTGGGATGGATTATCTCGGCAAAGGAGAAGTGCTCACTATCACAGATTGTTTCAGATTTGTGAACAATATTTGAGAGAAATGGTTATTTTGTGTAAATAGAAAATGTTTTAGATCTTTGAGTTCATCTCATGAAAAATGAGAGCACAAACAAAAGTGTTGCATTTATATTTTTGTTCAGTGTAGATAGTAAACCTAAACTCGTAGACAGTTTGCAACATGAGACACAAAGCACCCGGCATATAAATCACTATTTGTATCAGCCGTTCCTCACCCAGCATGGTAGCCTGTTTGAGGAATTTGAAGCTGGTCTCAAAAGTCATCTGCTGCAGAGGGGAGGAGTTGGAGCGGATGGCGTGCCGGTTTAACGGCTTGTATATTCCTTCAAAACACATGTAATCTGCCACCAGTGACAGATGCCGGGGGTCCACCTCGATACCTGGAGACAGACAGAGAAACACAAAACAGACTAAATGTGAGTGCTCCTGACAATAATAAGATCTGCTATCTGCCGTACGGAAGCCCAGAGGGGACTTTGTTAACAGACTATTTTACTTGAAAATAATAATAATCCATGGTATTTTTGCTCCCTGGGTCTGGATATGAGCGCACTAACTCACTGAGCCAACATCCGCCCCAAGTAAAGAAATGTAATTCAATATTAGCATTCTAATTTCCAACATGGGTTATTTCAGGAAAATGTGAGGAAATAAAGAGAAAAGATTCAGATTTGCATTTCATTACCACATAAATATGAAAATGGAAAAGCTGTTTAAATATATATGTTAACAATATTCAAATAGTAAATCAAATTTGAAAATGATAATAGAGAGGCGAAGTCCGGCCCTTCTACTACCGCCCCATGGGACCTTATTTCGGAAAAATTATGTATTGAAGTCAATGGGGAGAGAAAACTTATCTTTCGATCCCAAATTGTGCCATGAATTACACATA